TGATGATTTGGTGGAGCGCCGTTGTCACGTCAACCTCATTCCCGTCAGCCAATCAGCTTGCAGTGAAGTGCACTTGTCCACCGAGTTACGAAAGTGCCGATTTTGTGATAGGTTGGGGCGTGAATGACCAATCGGTTTGCAGTGATGGCTGCCACGGTTTTTCAAATCCTGATTATGCACAAATAATATTAGGACTCAAACACCGCTGCCGGCAAAATCCGGGTAAATTAGTAACGAGAGCTCCCGTATACAACATACCACATCCACATTCACGCTTCAGATGTAAATTTAACCGAAAAATGCCTGTTTTGCTATACAACGATTTATCGCAGTTGTGCAGTAGCATTTATGAGAGGTGAAGAAAAAAAACTAGACTTCAGCGCCAATCCCCGGATGACTGGTTACTGCCACAATGTCAATTACGAGGAGACGTCATCTGATTGGTCCAAGCGCTTCTAGAAAACACCATCTGTCCTAGTTCTCAACCAGCCAGCTTCAAGTCACAACCACGTGAACTCAAATGGGTGTTAAGTAAATTAGTCCTTGTGCGGTCTGCCAGGTGCGTCTGGTTTGTTAAGTAAAACAAAATTTACGCTGGACACTTGACGGAATTGCGGATTCGTGGAATGACGGCGCATGGCTTAGTGTACTCCTCGAATGGAACACTACTTTGTCATTTTATTCAGTGTCAAGAGCATAACTGTTCTTGTGTAATCTACCCGACATTTATGGATATCACAAGCGTAAACTTTCTAGCATGCTCTTGTTTCATTTTTGGTGAGACAACATGACCTTGAAATAGGTTTGTTTAAATTAATTTGTGTGCAGGGTCATTATTCAAAGTGGAAAATAAAGGGTACGTTTTGTTAAATAAACTTAGGAATAGAAAACTGACGTGTCAGGCCCCACAAGACATTAACATTCAGGTTTATTGACGCCAACCTCTGTACTTCTATCCGACTTCACCTTCCCCCTGGCTTTTTCACCTTGAGTGTACTTTTCTCCTTATACTCAAGGCCGTCCACGCCAAATCCAAGTGGGCGTATGTGAACGTAATCTGGGCCTCTGACACCAACAGCTAAGAATTTGTTGTGGGCCCCAGCATGTGGTCTTGAACCACTCCGGGGCCACTGAATTAACTCTGGTCCGATTACGTTTCCCTGGTACCCGCGATGAAGAATAAGACCCGAGAGGGCGTGGGCACAACCGTTTACCGCAGAGCTCAACCACGTTGATGTCGTCGTCTCGTGTTTGGCGTTTGCGCGTGTGTATTTATACCTCGGATGTGTGAGTCATACATGGGCTGACAACGAGACCTAGGTGTGAGGATAATCCAAATATTCGTGTGAATGAGGGGAGGTTGAGGATCCGCGTGGCTGGCGACATACTGCGAAAAGGGGAACCCCGTGTCGGAGGCTGGAGCGACCGGATTAAGGGTTGCCAATAAACACAATCCACAACAAGTTCTTGGCCCATAGTGTACTAACGAGGGGATTCCACTAATCCATTCGTCGGGTTTCGTATCTGTGTTTCCCGAGCGCCATTACATGTTTATGTTAAGAAACAGTCGAATTTTGTTGTTGTTGCTAAGACATGTAGTTGTGAGAAATAATTTACAATTTCTGTGCGTAAAAGTTGAAAAAACTACCGGTAGGAACTGTTCAGAAAATATTTACGACTCACGTCCACTAACCCAGTCATTGCAATCGCACGCCACAATGCCCTCATTGTCACAGCGTCCCTCAGATCTTGCCAAACCGTCTATCCATACACCCCTGTGCGTGTGCTCCTCCCCACCACACCACCCGTTTCATTCATTCAGCTGACGGTTCAGTCATTTGGTCACCCAAACTCTACTGATCGACAACGTCATCGAGTCACAGCTTGGTTAAGCTGTCTAGTAATCGGTCGTGTCTGCCATCTCTGGTCTTTTGTCTCCTCGGTTATTTGAGTAGCGTTGCCAGAGGCCTCAACAAATTGTGACTTGAATCTGGGCGACATTTCGGCGTTCAAAGCAACTCTGTCTGTGACTTGGTGAAGGGCCATTTGCGGATTACTACTAACGAGATGGATGAGGACCAAAATGTCGACAATTCGACTGTGTTCAACCATTCCCGTGTTTGTTTCGCATGAGTAGACGGAATTGTGGTTCCACCGCAAATTATTCCATCGTCCGTCGATGGAATGAACCTTTCGTGAATCAAGTCGTGATTGTAGACATAAAGAAAGTGTCATGAGGAATGTTCTTGCGTAAACTCCTTCCATGTCGCACTTGGGCAACTCACTCAACTCAATCTTAAAATCCATCGAAAACGTTCATATTTGTCCAATTGAAGTGGTATCATCTTTCACCATGACAACGCCAGACCACACGTCGCTGAATGGACATTGTGAAAACCCCTAAGCTTGCCTAATTATATTCATGTGTCTGCCAAGGAAGATGATTGAAAAGATGTGAATCAGTTTGAAGAAGAACCATGCAGCTTCTGCAATAGAGGAAACTTAATAAATCGAAGCGATAGAGGGCACTTTTTGATTAATAAATTCTGTGTTTCACGTAAGTGTGTGTTTTGTGTTTTTATCTGTGTTCGAATTCGGCACGAGGTTTTGCGAATGCGCAATACGAAGGAAATTGTGGGTGAAAAATTCAGTATTAGGCGGCTACAGAAACCGCATTTGAGCCTCGAAGTTGATTGGATGAAAGTTACTTTTTAAAAATTAATAATCGTGAATCCGCACAGCTGACTCGTTGACCTTGAGCCGCGTTCATAGAACGTTTGATTATCGATCACCAAAACGAGCAGATGATTGTGTAGCTGTGACGGGCAATCGGTGATGTGGCAAACGCATAAAATATCGCTACAAGACCAATTAAAAGCAACCTTTTAAGCCATGATCAGAGGTGCATGAGTACTTCAATTAATAATATTTTTATTCTATGATATCGCCTTAGTAGTTAACGCCAAACTCCTCGAGGCAGTAAACACTCCACGTGCTTAAAATGAGGTTTACAGACACGCTCACAGCCAATTACAGGCTCAAAACGTGCCATCTTGCAAGACAGCTTATACGTGAGCATCTACCTTGCCCTGTGGATGTTCGTTTAAACAAGAGCATAAAATTTAATTTATTCAGCACAACTAGAATGAAGAACCATGCGAAAAAAGGCTATGGGTATGTTTTAAGTGACTAGCTTTAAACAACTACTTGGAGGCCTATTGAATGGTTTCTGAACACCGTTGCACATCTCAGCGGTGGGTGCAGGACCTGTCCAGGCAACCACACTTTGTTAGATGAAGGAAACCTCTACAAATTCTGGATCGTCGTCTTTATTCCGAAACAATTGAATTTTTTACTTAATTATTTCACTTTTAAAATACTCAACTCTGATGGTTTGTGAAACCGAAATTGAGTGATGTTATTTTACACCGAAGGTGAACATAAAGCGTACTTAAAACATTTAAAGTAGAAATAGAGACTCCACGTAAAAATCAGTCATGGTTTTTTCAGGTTTAATAACCAGGCAATTTACAGTGTAAGCTTGCGATCAGATCTTGATACAAGGCGGGAAAAATGGAACTGTGCTTGTGGAACCACAATCCAACAAACCATAACACAATCTGTTTGGTTGACAAGATTCCTTTATTGCCTTGCGGATGAAGTATATGACAGTAGATTATGAATGAAAAAAAGATGATAAAAAAATTGAATAAATTCTTTGAGATCTTCAGTCTTATGTTGACTTAGACTATAATTTAAACAATAGTTTTTCTCTGGACCTAATTATGTGAAATTATAAATATATGAATGTTCTTCGAATCTGTACGTCCCGCCATAAGTCTGATCTCAATCTAGCAACAAGACGCTAATATCTGTAAGAAATCACTTTTTACTACTCTGTGCTTATGTTACCATCGGGAACGGCTGTTAAGGCGTGCAGAAACGAACTTCTGAGGTGAAGAGTAACAGAGTAATATAAATATATCTTAATAAATATAAACACTAGAACTTTTTAATTCAAACCATGGGTATTTTTTGAAAATAATCTGATGAAGAAAATGTGCATTATTCGTGTCCTTCACATTTAACTACAGTCATCAAGATTTCAAAATGACTAATGACGTCAGTAAATGACCCTGAAATGGAGACTAATTATGAACTTTAAGAATTAACTGGCGTAATTCAGCAAAATAATCAGATTCCACCTAGCTTAATGTATTTTTACCAGGGTACGCCCTTTGGCAAACAAACCTAGTGTAAAGCTTTTGATTTACTAGTTACGAAACGCCCATTATCGAAGGTGTAAGGCACAGTTTTGGAAATTTCAGTAAACAACTTGCTGCTGGGGTTGCAGAAATAACTTGATTTTGCAAAATTTCAAATTAAAATACTAGGACTCGATTAATACTTAAAGGTGTTATATATGTATTTACTAAATGAGAAACGAAGATATTAAAAGAAAATCGGTGACCAAAATCAAGGGTAGCTGTTGCCAAAGAAGAGTGCTGACCGCAAGCAAAAGCCGTGGCTAGAAAGCGGTTTCAACTTATGTAAAATTAATGGTATTACTAAACGTTTCATGACTAATTGATGCATTACGGATGGACCATAAAAATATCTCGGATCAGCATCAAAATGTAGAGCTGGTATATTGGTTGTCATTATCACAGCTCCAAGAATACTTAAACTGCAACTTTGTTATATCTCAAAGAGCTTGATACAAAGAATGCAAGAACTCGCTTTTTAAATACAACGCTTCATTCGCAATGTGTACAATTGTATAAAAGCCGACACATTTCAGCTTTGCCTTAAAAGAGCGGTGTTTTGAGTTACATCTATGCAATAAATATTATTTTTATATGTATCCTTTTTAAACTCATGTATAAAAGAGTAAGAACAAACATCATCAAATATAGATTTGATTTGAACTCGCTGAATTGCCGCAGGATTTGAAAATAATCGTGATCCAATACCTATTGCACTAATGGGTAGGCTGGCTGATGTATCGAATTGTCTCTAAAACAAGGAGCCTTCTACGAACGCTAGTGGCCATCGATGGTCGCCAAGTCAGGAGAAGTGTAAATGCGCGCCGCTCTTTTTTCTCCTTTGTCACGTCAGTTTCGGGTTTTGACAATAAGCATGCAAATTATGAAATCCGCAATAGACCTAGATGGACATACGGCGATGATGCGTGTTTTATTTCCATCACCGATGCTTGCTGCGTTCTAGGTATGCACTTGATTGCATGCTTTGCATTCTCATCTCCTTTGCTGCTGAGTTTTTCACCTCACGTCTTTTGGATTTTTTCAGGCGTGGCCGATGGAGTTGGTGGATGGAGGTCGTACGGCGTTGATCCAAGCAACTTCTCAAAAACCCTTATGTCTACATGTCGGAGGCTAGCCGAATCTGGTCGTTTTCAGCCAAATGAACCCATGCTCCTCGTTACCGAGAGCTACCATGAAGTTCTAGATGCTAAAACACCCCTCTTGGGTATGTAATAATCGCTCTGCGTCGTCTTCAACTGAGCTTGGTGTAATTTGCAATCTAATTTTTAGGTAGTGCGACATTTTGTGTGATTTCGTTGTGCCGCAGCGATGGACGCCTCCACACCGTGTGTCTTGGCGACTCGGGCTACATGGTTATCCGCCAAGGTACCATCGTAAAACGCTCCTCTAACCAGAAACATTCGCTGAACACTCCCTTCCAGGTTGCATGTCTCCCACCTAATGAACACGGTCATTTTTATCGTGATTCGTAAGTTTTGGATATCTTTTTATTTCTGATGCGTTATTTCTTGCTCCATTTTTGCGTATCTAACGGATGACTATTGGCAAACTTTTTTTATAATAAACGATCGCACCAAAGTCAAGAGTTGGCTTTTTATTACTTAAAAAGATATTTTTAAAAAAATGGTCGTATGGGCAGTAGCTTCTCCCAAATATTTGTTTTGGTACTGTTTAACATAACAGTAAATTGCTTATTGATGTGAATAGTACAAACCTGTGTGCCTGAAATGAATATTTCTTCTTTCCCATAGACCCGAACAGGCAATTCAGGACAGCTTTTCTTTGGAAGCCAGCGACCTGGTAGTTGTTGGAACGGACGGGCTATTCGATAACCTCACCGATCAAATGATCCTGCAAGAGCTTACACCACTACAGGCAAGTTTGCATGTTGCTATCATCGCCTTCAAAAGGCCATGCGTTTACCGCCACCGCATTTTTAAAGAAATAAATGTCCGTCTTGTTCAAAGGTGCCTTTTGATGTGTGTTTAAACACATCCTGGTTGTCATGAATCCCTTTCCCGTTACGTCGGCCAAAGTTAAACTCTGATGGCTACCACAGAATTGTCCTTGTCAAATGCTAACTTGCGTCACCCATACCCTATTGCTTGATCTAAGCAATTTTGGGAGTCGTGATTCTGTGTGCATCAATGATGTGTGCGTGTGTGTGGATACGCTTAAGCATTCCTGCACAAAAGGGCGTGTCTTAATGTGTCTTTTGCCTTTCAAGTGAATTCCATTGGCTATTTCTGTTTAAAGTAGCATTTTTGCAAGGTGTGGGGGTGTAGCTCCAACACATGGCGCAGCTGCAACCCCAAAATAGCCACAGATGCACAACTTTTACGCTCTGCTGTGCTAGCATTGCAAATTCCGCCACTCGGTGCTGGATTAGTGTAAGCGGTGGTGTGAACAGGTCGTCGTCTCGTGGATTTGCATTCTCCGAAGGGCTCTATTTGGGTTTAACTAGAGTTTACAAGAGCCGGCCACGCCACATTCAATCCAAGTTCCACTCTGGACCCAAAATACGTGTCCTAGCACTAAATCTAGAGAAACTGTTTAACCCCGTGTCGAAGTGATAAACTGGTGACAGGGTGCCGTTGTTGCTGTCACCGCAACCACCACGAATGCCTTAGAAACCTTAGTCTAATGTGGCACCCTTTCCTCCTCCCCTCCCCCCAAATCACTGTAGGACTGCGGCTTGAATGTGGCGTCGGATGAGCTGCTGGATTGGTGCGCCTACCGCCTCGTTGCGTGTGCCCGCAACGCCGCTGAGAATCCCAATTTCGTCTCCCCCTTCGCCAATGAGGCTCGTCAGTACGGACTCAACATCGCGGGTAAGCCCCTGCCTTCAATTTTAATCCAAATACCTCCCTTGGATCACATCACATATTGTGCAACTCGTTAGCCGGTATTTTTTCGTCGCTGTTGTTGCCGCATTGACAAGGCGGGGTTTCGCCTCTTTGTGCTTCACGTGAGTGCGTGTGTGCTAGCAGGTAATCCTGTGCTTATGGCCCCTTGTAAACGCGGTACCGCCGCATCCCCACCAAAGACCGAATCGATGTCTCCTTTCACCAGTTCCAACAGTGGTCCCCTAGCTGGGTGTCCTATAACTTCATTGTTGCCCTTAGCAACCAAGTCACTTGTAAAAACGTGGGAAAACTGCACGACGAAGTATATCTGGATAAATACTTCATTTCGTGTGAAAATTGGGCACCTGGTGGAACGTACATCTCAAGCACAACCTGTTTGCGCGCACACACAGGGGGAGGGTTGGATATCTAAACACGTGTGCCACCTCCTTGCGAGACGCCTCTCGATTGTACTTGTTTGTTTAAATCCATCACTTATGCATACGCACACGACCTACGGTTTGGTCATCCTATTTCAATCTGCACGACGCGAAATCTGGGGTGTGTGTGGTGAGGGGGGCAGTTTTGTCGATTTCTATGTTGTCCCAGGGGTGATGGTGTGTTATGTCAGTGTCGTGGCGTTTTCTCCTGTCGCAGTGTGAAACACACCGGTTTTGGCATACATTTGAAGGTATTTGTACTTTCTTCAAGCGCTGTGTGAGAGGTTTGCCTAACAACGCAAGTGTTAAAGTTGGTTTACTACCGTTCTGGGGATATTTCCACTCAGTGGTTACCGCCGCAGCGCCATGATTGAATCGGATCGTGACGCAACTCGACAAGAAATGCATCTCGTGATGCAAAATTGATCATATAAAATAACAATATCACGTGGTTACTGTTAGCAGGATGTGGTGAATTTTGTGTGTTGTTGAATCAATGCTTAGACAATGTCGTGAATGCTTACAAGTCGTAGGTGTGCGTTTACTTAGCAACTGGCGTGTCCTAATTGTCCTGTTTTGGCAATCAGGTGGAGTTCGTGGCGATATAACAGTGATGCTGGCTCTGGTCGTTGACGAGGCCGTCTCCGCAGACACACAGTCGGCCGAACCTTCTTCCTCAGACGACGGCGACGACAGGAAGAAACGTGTGTTCAGGATCTCCCCCAGTCGTTCCTCCCTGGTTAGCGCTGCCGTCGACTGAGACGCCCTCCCACGTGCATTTACGCCCCCCCCCCTCTCCGCCCCCCTCTCCTTCTCTTTCTCATTGCTACTTTCGACTTTTTGTAGTCATTATTTAGACGCTTCAATACATTAGCAAAAAGCGCAAGGAACCAAAGTGTTATCAGTCTGCATCACTGCCAGTTAGGTTGGGATTAGGCCTGCGCCAACCACATTGTCCATAATCTCGCTTAATTACTGCTCATGCGTAAATCCTTGTCCGCGTGTGTGTGTGTGCGTGCGCGTGTATGCATTTAAGCCCCGCCTTTCTTAACCGAATACCGGTGCCATAGCAACGCTGACATTCGCTAGTTTCGCTTTAGTGGGTCATCATGATTGACGTCGGGGTGGTGGTGGTGGTAGCGCGAGGCAACATCGTGCCGATTGGCAAGGTCAATCTCTGTTTACATGTTTGGGGTCAGTCACTCCTAACTTTCATCGGCATGTAGTTTGAACACCGCCAGTTATCACCTTCGACGCAATGTAGTGGGTCATGCGCTAGCACCGAGCATTGCCCGAATGTCAACACAATATATCATGTCCAGTACCGGTGGAAATTCGACAGCACAACGGGCAAGTCTGGTTTTAGCGATTAATAATGCCTAGGAGTAATGGCACTTCATGCCAAGAGCTTTACAGATTCAACCTTAGAATCGATAATTGGTTGCAAGTCTTTAACTGCCTCAAGGACGACAATTTGACTGGTGCCAATCGGAGCGGGAAATTCCAGCAGCTTTTCTCTTATGGGTTAGTTGTGCGTTTTGTCTGACGTTTTGCGTATGCGTATGTGTGGCAAAAAGGCGATGAATTTTTTCATTTTCGTCTCTGCAGTCACTTGACGCAAATCACTCATACATACAAAATATTTCACTTCTTTCTACATCCAGAACAAAAATTTGACGCAGTGAGGTCAGTTTTGACGATGACAGGACAATATCAGGTCGAAATACTCTGGTAAAATGACTTGAAGGTAAGTGGTTCATCCTGAAAAACGGCGACCAGTTAGTGGTTGGCTCGTGTGCGACGTTCTGTGAGTTTCGAATTGACGCTCAGTGCGTGCACCAGCCCAGTAAAACAACAAAAACCAAAGAATATTAATTAATGAGGGTAAACGATTGTTACATTGAGCATTTGCCATAACTTGCTTTTTGGATCCACTTTCATCGTATGATTCCAGTTACTGTGGTGTTGTATTAACTCTGGCCCGATTAGGCTTCCCTGATACCCTCGATGAAGAAAAAGACTCGAGAGGACGTGGACACAACCGTTTACTTCAAAGCTCAACCACGTTGGTGTCGTCGTCTCGTGTGTGGCGTTTGCGCGTGTGTATTTATACCTCAGATGTGTGAGTCATACATGGGCTAACATCGAGACCTAGGTGTGAGGATAATCCAAATATTCGTGTGAATGAGGGGAGGTTGAGGATCCGCGCGCCTGGCGACATACTGCGAAAAGGGGAACCCCGTGTCGGAGGCTGGAGCAACCGGATTAAGGGGTGTGAAACGACAGTGGATTTACCACGTACTGCGTTGATCTTTGACAGAAGTGCTCTGGAGATGTTAGTTCTCCATGCTTAGAGTGATCGTGGAATAGCATGGGGACACCTTAGCTTGTAGTGAATCGTCTCGTCTTCAAGCAACCATGTCTGGCAATTCAGGCACATGTAAATCTGCCAGTCAACAGCACTCACTAATCATTTCTTCATGGCACACATTTGAGACATCTGCGAAGACACTGCTCTCTTGGCCACTGACCTGTAGTCTTGACCAATCGCCTCGTCTTTGGTTGCGGACTGGGCGGAACGACAGATGGTTTTGATAGGCCCCCGGCAACGATTAACTTCGGTGAGTTTGCTGATCCTATCTCAGGTCACATAAATTGTCAGCACAGCCTACATCCATGCCCACACATCCACTGCACCCGCATCCACAAGGTACCTTCAGTGTTCCAAGACAAAGATCTGCTGGTTGCACAGTTTACTTGTTTACCTTTTTGTCTACACAATCCTTGAGTTTGTCGTTCACCAACATCGTTGACCTCTTTACGCAAAAATAATCGATTGGGGTGAACCAGACTGACGATGGTTACTCCGCCTCAATTCGTTTTGTCGTAGCCAACATCACTGTAACCCCACTGCACCAATCGGCTGTCGTACCTACGATCTGCAATTGACAATTCTTTCCCAGGAAGTCTATTTTTGTTGTCAGGCTAAGGTGGCATCTGACGCCTCCCCCTTCTGAGTCAGTGAGTTTACTTGTTCGGGAGGGAAACCTAATCTCTCTCCCATTTGGCCCCACTACGTGTCAACTTGGAAGATGAGAAAATTCCGCAGAATTTACCTCAGAAGGAATTGCAGGATTGGGCGAATCTAGTTTTATCCCCATGATGCCACCACCTTGCAAAACAACGCCAACCCCCCACACCCACAATCACGTGCCAAACAGCTGGGGCCCGTTCGTTTTCCTCCGTGGGCGCGCACCGACACCCCGTCACGTCGCCACGAGCGTGTGTACGAGTGAACGCACACCAAGACCCCGTCAAAACACACAGAAAACTTCTCTTTTACGCACGACTTTTTGCTGTGTGCAACGGTACAATTCCCCCAGTACACACACGCACACACACAGTCATTTGTTAAGAGCGCAAAAACGGAATTTTAATGTACAAACCTCGGTCTGTTTGGGAGGGGGGTTAAGAAACTGAGAGTGGGGGAGGGGGTGGCGGATGAGGCACTACGCGCCGCCTCCGTAGGGAATAGGGAGGTTAAAGAAATCGTCCATCTTGGGTGTCCGAGTTGAGGCGACGTCCGGGGCGCCAGACGGTGCTGGAGGCGACCGGTGTGCCGGCATGTGGTGGCCAATGTTAACGACACCTCGGTGCTGGCTGTCGAGTTGGCGCTGACTGCGCAAGGTGGCCTGCAAACGAGAAAAATAAGTTCGGCGTGTGAAACGGGCTACGCGTGACTGCGACGAGTGCGTGCCAAATTGAGACGACACAACATCAACAACATCCTATAAGGTGGGGCGACAGGTGACAAGAAACCACACACAGGACCGGTAACTTAGTCAGATTAGATAGCCTGTGCAAGGTAAATTAGCTGCGTAAACCAGCTTCGCAGGCGGCACTCACCGCGTCATTGAAGTGCTCCTTAAACCAGCCAATCATTCGATCGAGGGAGGGGAACATTCGCTGACGGAACTTGAAGCCCTCCGGCTTCACAGAGAACAGCTCGAAGCGCGGTGTTTGGTTGGGCATGTAGGCCAGCACGAAGTAGCCTGGGTGCTCGGCTGAGGCTGACAGGAAGTAGGGAATCTTGGTGTGGTTGATTTCCTTCTCTTTCTGCAACAACTCCCTCAGAATCTCCTGCTTGCCGCCCTATCAAATGACATAACAAAAAATGAACAGGCTGCATCGGTTACACAGAACTCAGGAAAAATCGATACTTCATTTCACAAGATTCAACCAATCAGAACACCCCAGACACAGTGAAATCGCCACTTGTTAAAACCAATCCTTGGGGAACGAATCAATTCAAATGAGGTATGTTGTTAGCGTGAAGGGATTATACGGGGGTTGAGCTGTTTCCAGGCAACCTGACGACCAAATTACATGTTTCTTATCAACAAAATGGATAGAAAACAAATCCCAGAGAACCGTTTGCATCACTTTAATAACAGACTTGACTTTGTACCATGAGGTACAACATTAAGATCATGTGGTCCACTTTTTCTTGCTAATAAAACTCGTAATCTCGGTGTTTGCGCAAAAAGTAACCAGAGGTCATCGCACAAAAGGCCAGAGAGATTTAATTGACTTAATGGTGCAACCAAATCAATGGTTCAGTGACCTCAAACTGACCCAATAAACATCCACCAAGTTTGTAACAAAGCACGCTACACCCTCGTCACCCCAACCGCTAGAATTGGATCTACAACGGACTGGAAGAGATTTCGTACCTGTGAATTGCGATAGTACTTGTACGTGAGGACATCGCGTATCAAGTAGACCATGGGTTGCATGTAGCGAGCGACGATTTCGTCTAGGTCCTCGAACGCCTCGTTGCCGATGAGGAGGGTGCGTCCGAGGACGAAGCTGTGCGTCTTGTCCTTCTCCACGACGTCGAAGTGCTTCAAGATGCCGTCGTCGACCTTCAGCGAGACCGTCAGATGATCGGTGCCCTGACGGCTGGGTCGGATCACAATGGCGCCCGTCTCGAGGGTGGGCTCCATGGCCATCAGCTGGTTGTAGGTGATGTTCTTGAAGTGCGGATGGAAGATGACGCGGTTCACGTAGGCCTGTGTGGTTTTGGCCTTCTCCTTCGCCTCCAGGTCTTCCAGCCGACGCAGCTCTGCCGCCTCCGCGTCGTAGTCGAAGAAGGCGTCACGACGAATCCTGCACTCACGCAGTTCATCCTTCAAAACAGCAGCAAGTAAAACGGGTTACAATGTGCGCGGGTGTGTGGAAGAGGTTCAGGGGTAAGGCAACATCTCATTGGTCAATTCTCGGGTAGTATTGAAACTCTACTGGGTCTATTCATGACCTCTCACTGCAAACCTCGATACTCAACACCACTATCGATAGAATGCATGCGACCTCATCCACGATGTGAAGCCCGCATCTTCAGCTTGGAGCTTCCACCAAACCCTCCTTATTTCCCCTTACCGAACACTGTATGATAAATCTAACACATCCAGAGGTAGATCAAGACAGTGACAACGCCGACTAGTGGAAGCAAATCCACTACAAGTTAACGGCAACGCGTCAATCGGCCATCCCACAATCCAAGAAGGCCAACGTACCTGGATTTCGTACGACCGGAGAGTGAGTTCGACGTTGAACTTGGTTACATCGATTTTAGTGACCCTGGCCTGCAGAATGCTGCCGGGCTGGACGGAGTCGAGGGTCTTCTCAACCGGCGGATCGATGAAGCGGATTGGGATGAAGCCGAAGATGCCGTTCTCAAGCCGCACCCGCAGGCCCACTGGCTGGCCGGGGCAGTCGTTGCTGTCGAAGTGCGCCCACATCTAAAATGCCAACAGAGCACATCCATCACCAGACTCCCCTTCCCCCCTGAATGTCGTCTAGGGCTGTCTGCGTGTACTGACAGGCAATTTACCTCGTTGAGCTGCTGGAAGTTGTCCTGCTTGCAGAACGGACACCTCCACAGTCCCGTGGCCTCGTTTCTGGAGGGATTCGCCTGGTCCAGCTGCTCCGGACGCGGCTTTCTAGTCGCGATTGACAGGACTTGACAGTCGACGAGGCTGCCCTTGTGCAGGGTCTCGGGAGTCTCGTGGGTGGCCAGACTGAAGATGCGCTCCGGCGTGAGGGGCTCGAAGGGGTCGCGGAGGTCACGGTAGCGGTGATTCAACTCCTTGCGGATGTCGTACAGAGTGATGTGCTTGTCACCGTGGTCCTGTCGCTTCAACTCCTCCGCGAACGCGTCTAAATCCAACTCTCTCAACCGAGCCGGGCTGCAAGTATAGAAAAAATTTCTCGGTTGAAATACTAACTACTTACAACAAGTCAGTAGGTAAAATACCAACTAACCTCTGGACGATTTCCTCGAGAGCGGTGGTTGGATCGTTCTCGTCGACATCGTCGTACTCCAGCGCGTCGACAGCCATCTGACGCGCGAGGTCATAGCTCTCAGGGTGAACACGCATGGAGTCGAGAATTTCAATGTTGTCCCCGGAGTTCGGCAGGTCCCGCACGGCGGTCGTGTCGATCTTGATGAATCCAGCGCAGTTGATCGCCACGTGGGGACCGAGGCGCAGCACTTTGGCCAGAAGCTCGCGATTCGTCAGGAACACCTTCTTTTGCTTCAACAACTGCAAAAGACAAAAAACCCAACGCACTACTCACAAGTGGCAGTAGCGAGTGTCGCTGGAACGAGCCGACCCAGACTGCTGGGGAGGTTCTAACCTTGATCATGTAGAAGGCCTTCCGAGGTCCCAGACCAGCGACGAATTGAAGGAGGTTCGCGGTGTGCGGGTGCAGAATGCACCGGTTCACGTCGACGCCCACCTCGTTGGTGCGGTTGATGAACTCAATCTCCAGAGCCCGCATCAGCATCTCCTGCGGTACCGAGTCCTGCGCGGGGTTCCACCGCACGCCGAGGATATCCGTGTCCGGGGGATTGAAGAGCTGGGCAAACTCCGCCAAGGGGTCCTACAGGCGAAAGCACACCAATTAGCGCCGTGGCCGGTGTCACTCGCACCTCCGCAATCAACACCAAACCGTCTAATTGCCCTGGTACAAGAAGAGCGAATCGTGACTCACCTGAAGTCGTCGACCCAGAGAGATGGCCTGCTTGAGGAGCGCGGAGTACGTGGAGGGCAGGGTGGCCGTGGCGGCCTCGGATTGGGAGTAGACAACGGCCAACTCCATGTCCATCAGCTCGATGTTCGGACGTGATGGTAGACGCGAGTCCGCGGTCAGGTCGTCCACCAGACCCTGCACCATGTCGCGCAGGGTCAGGGCGCGCCGCGAGTTACAGCCAATCACAATCGCCTGCGGGTGGTTCCGCGCGACGAATCGCGTGAAGCGTTGCACATCCTCCTCCTGCAACAACACAACAACAAACTCCACCATGCACATCAAAATTAAGGGGTTCTCGCTCAACTCGTGCGACAATTACCACCAGGTTTTAAAACGAACATGAAATTAATGGTCTAAATGAAAAACCATTAATTGAAACACAGGTTGGAAACGATCCGTGATCAATTCAAGGATTAGCGATAGACTTGGTGATAAACCAGTAAACACATAGCTCGCTGACACATAATTATGCACCCACAAAAACCAACTTAAAGTTACAGGGCCTAATTAGTGTGATAATTACTACTAGATGCAAACCGTTATTTGCAACACAGATAAGAAACAATCCGTGGTAAATTCAAGAATCAGCGATACACTTGATGATGAATAAGTTAACACCTAGCACCAACTTAAAGTTTCATCATGGCTTGATTCGTGTGATAATTATTAACAGTTTTTAAAGCGGCCGCAAATCGCGCGCGATTAGCACACACTGGCCAGAGGTGTTAACTCTGCCCAAGCCATAATTACAAGAATAATTTATCAACAATTTTGACAAAATAGATGCTCTATACGAAAACCGTTACATGACTTAATTCCTGTAATAATTATCACCAGTTTTTAAAACGAACATGAAATTACTTTTCTAGATGCAAACCGTTATTTGCAACACAGATAAGAAACAATCCGTGGTAAATTTAAGAATCAGCGATACACTTGATGATGAACAAGTTAACACCTAGCACCAACTTAAAGTTTCATCATGGCTTGATTCGTGTGATAATTATCACCAGGATTTTTAAACGGCCGCAAGTTGCGTGTGATTAGCACACACTGGCCAGAGGTGATAACTTTGCCTAAACCATAATTACAACAATAATTTATCAACAATTTTGACAAAATAGATGCTCTACACGAAAACCGTTACATGACTTAATTCCTGTAATCATTATCACCAGTTTTTAAAACGAACATGAAATTACTTTTCTAGATGCGAACCGTTATTTGCAACACAGATAAGAAACGAACCGTTGCCAATTCAAGAATTAGCGATACACTTGATGATGAACAAGTTAACACCTAGCACCAACTTAAGGTTTCATCGTGGCTTGATTCGTGTGATAATTACAACCAGGTTTTTTAAACGGCCGCAAGTTGCGTGCGATTAGCACACTGGCCAGAGGTGTTAACTTTGCCCAGACCATAATTACAACCAAATTTTTCCAACTAATTGAGCAAAAAATTTGACAAAATAGATGCTCTATACGAAAACCGTTATTTGCGATAAATCAGCGGTTCGAGGTAGACACTTAGCTGAAAGCAATTATGTCCCCATCACGAATGCACCACCACCAGCACCAAGACAACTTACTCGACTTTTTTTGAGGTCATCCCGTTGAAGCCGCGGGTTGTGGAGGATGCAGGGCAGGTTCAAGAAGTCGACAACTTCGCCGTCAGCGTCCAACTGGACGGCGGCGATCATGGACTCGAAGATGTCCTTGTCGTCAGTGGCCAGGGCAAGCACACGCGCGGGCTTCGGCCAGATGCTGTGGTCCTCATTGCCGTCCGGCTGGTGGCGGCCACCGTGACGATGCCGACCGCCCGCGCCGCTCTCGTCGCCGTCGGCGCCACCGCCGTAGCGCTGGTCGTCCACCACGTACGGCGCCACCTTGATGCACTTGAACAACTTCTGTGCGCAGAGCTTTAAAGAGGCATAAAAGGGCAAAGTGAGCGGTGGGGGGGGGAGCATTTCGGAAAACAGACCGACCAAACTACCATCAACTCCACTGAGGAAGCATACTGAGTTTTACTGCCTGAGTCTTAGGGGGATTGAACTTCACACAAGTGTCTCGTACCTTCATGACAGCCTGGCGGCTGGCCTCAAGAAGCTTCTCTTGAATCTCCTTGAAAATACACGGCTCCAGGAACTGTTTGATTGCCTCTTCCAGCAAGAGCGAGCGCTGCTCGTTCCAGTCCTTCACATAATCGCTAAATTCATCGCGCTGGAAGAAAGCCACCAGATCACCCAGCAACGAGAGATCGCACTTTTCGAACTTGGGCACGTGCATTGTCATCGTAACCAAGCCGTCTTGAAGAGCCTGTCAAGGGAAGAAAATAAAACATGAAAACTACCGACAAAGTGAGGCCACGAGCAATGGCTAGAGAATGACGCACGTCGTGCAAATGGAGATAGGCGACGTCACCCATTAACTCGGAAACGGGCTTGGCCTTCAAGAACTTGACTGGAAACAGCGGATGCGACTCGTCGATCAGCCGCATTCCCTTGAGCGTGGGTTTGACGTCGATGGCGGCATGCGAGGAGATGTTCATGCGAGCCATCTGACGCACAGCGGGCTCGCGGGAGATCTGGAAGGCGAGCATGTAGCGCGCCGCGCGCAGAGCATCCGACGCCTCGGGGAATTGTGGGCAGACGAAGTCCGCGGCAGCGTCTAGCGGCGCCATAGGGCACTGGTTGACCTCGTGTCGGCGGTACCGATCACGCACATTCTCAGCAAACTGCTCCGCTGTCAGGCCGAATCGGTCGACTAGAGCAGACAGACCGGCTCGGTGGGCAATATCGTACGCAGTGGTTGTGCGCACTTGGCGCTGTCGTATCCGCCGGCCTGTCATCGGGTCAATGGAAATGGTGATCACACTGGCACCGGGAGCACGCTTTGCAGTGGCTTTAGGGGCCGTTGTGGCGTCTTTTTGTTCACTCGGCTTTACTGAAAGACTCTTCATGTCGTGTGTCGGGACGTACTCCTCGTCGGAGTCACTTTCCTCCTCCTCAGAAGCCTTGGCGTTGCCTTCATCCTCGTCCTAAGTGATTAAACACGACGTAGGGCATCTCAAACAAGCAAGCACTGCCCGCACACGGGAAAATTGCAAACGTGTGTCAATTGGAAATTAAGTATGCAAAGCAAGCCTCACCTTAGCGTCGAGTTTGGCATCCTTGTCTCCCCAAATGAGCATTTCCTCAATGAAACCACCATAGCGAAAGAGGTAACTCAGTTTAACATCCTGGACTTCCTCTAATGAAGTGGCACATTTGGCCCTAAGGAAATGTTGAAATAAATAATGAGCACTTACATGGCAATGAGGGACACCAGTCCGTTGGAGTCGGGCTTATCGCCAACATTCTCCTCGGCAGTCTGCGCATCTAAGTATGCTTTCATTTGATCGAGCTGTCGAATCAGTTCCTTGCGACGTCGTTGGAGAATTTCCCACTTCTCATCAAAATCATAGATTCGCCACAAATCATTGATATTTAGGTCCTTTTTAATGCACTCTTTTCTATAAAATGCGATGAAGGGGACTTCCGACAGGGATTCTTTGAACAATTTAAGCACTTGGAAAATATTTTCTATCACAGACGGGGGCTAAATTCGTGAAATTAAATCGATATCAAAAATACCTTCATTGACTGTCCCTCCTTGAATGTAGCATTATAAATCCACTCCGCTTCTTTCTTTACCTCAGCTAGATCCTCATTATAACTAGTCGACTGAGGGTCAAGTCTGCTGACAGGTACGCTACGCAACTGAAAACGTTCTGGGACGTCTGTACAGCGAATTCGTTCGTCTTCGGGACTGAAGAAGTTCCGAGCCAAATCGGTTGGATCAAATAACTCATACATCCGATCGTGATGAGTCACCTTTGGTTCACGCTTGCCTCTCCGGCGGCGTCCGCCTTCCTCCTCTTCATCCTCAAAATCTGATTCCTCACTAATATCGCTGCCGTGGTCACCATACTGCTCGAATTCATTGAAGTCAAAATCCACTCCAAAAATATTCTGTGCCTGCTGGAGAGCAGGGTCCTTGTGAACCACTTGTCGTCTTTGTCTAGCAGCTTGTCCACCGCCACCAGCATCATCGACAATAAAATCACCCATACCATCAGACTCCTCACCCTCATCGTCAGACTTGGCAGTAAAGGAGGGAGCAGCACGAACAGACCCATCTTCACTACGATTACCTCCCTCATCTTCATCCTCTTCAAATATCTGACGAGCAATTGCTTCGCGACTACGAGCTTCCCTGGATGCTTTCTTGGCATCAATGTCAGCTTCGTCCTCGTCGTCGAGGACAAGCCGGCGCTTTTTAGTCTAGAATTAGAAAGTAGACTTAAGCAATGTAGTAACAGGGTAAATTATACGGAAGATTTTGCAAGTAACATCCACTTACTTTCCGTTGAATGTCAACCCCACAATTTTCCCTGATGAGCACGAAGTCCTCATCATCTAGCTGATCGTCATCATCGTCCTCATTTCCGTCATTTTTTTCCGACTTATCACTCGTGTTGCTTTCATTATCAGATGCATCACCACCATCTTCTACTTCGTCATCGTTGACGATCCAGCCTTGACCTTCTTTTCGACATATTTCCTCTTCATCAGGGAGCTCTTCCTCTTCTTCGCTATCTTCTGAAGAAACAGATTTTTCAAGTCGTTGTTTTTTGGAATTTGGCTGGCCTTCTTCGTCCGAAGACACAGATGCCTCAGAGTCCAAGTAGTCCGACATCGCACTAGACCGATATGCACACAAATGAAGAGTGGGTACAACGATTGGTCTCCAGAGGTCAAAGTTCAAATCAATCCCATCACGTTTGAGAATTTAGTAGTAGATTAATATTTTTTAGTTAGTGCAACATAGGTTTTAGGCATTCGAAATGACACTGAGACTAAGTAGGATAATTCAGTGGAGTTATGATTTCAGCTTATTACTTTTTAAGGAAAGCAATAGTTATTCGGCTTTTAATATTTATTACACCTTTTTGTTTAAAGATTTTGCATCTAGCAATAGAAAAAAAATCTGATGTTGCATAATACAAGTGTACACAAATTCCAGCCTTCAAATTAATCAAATAAAATATTTTAGAGATGTAAACACTTGTGTTCTGCTACCTGAGTATCGCTGTGTACCTATGTTTGGGCAAATTTAGTGTATTAGTAACTGTCAAGCATTGTTTGCACCATCAATGCTTTTGAAAAAAAATAAATTTTTTTCTGAATCAGTATAACTATCTTCCTAATACTCAAAGGAATAAAGATTAGTCTACATCTTCGTAATTAATTTTAATTAACCGGCGATGACGAAAGAATCGTTCTCACATTTGCATGTTTTTCTTCCAATCATGGCATTGAGACACTTTGTGCAGGGTCTTCTACTTAAACCTTTTTCGAGAAAACATCATTTACACTGCACTCATTTGTATGAAATTCATGGAGCTCATTAGTCGCAACTCTGATAAAGGTGAACTTTTGCTCCTCATTTAAAAAAATTCACGTATTTTAATTTGAACAGCGAAATAAAGTGCAAATAATTTTATCTTATGTCTTATGATGTACAAATTATCCATCACAAAACTCCTTTATATACAAAAATTATGCTGTTTCTGTATATATATTTAGCCTTTTCATTAAGAATGCTTTAATGTAAATTGAATGCAAACGACTTTTCTATTTATGAAAAATATGGTTTACGTAAGCAAATTATTGTATCCATAAGACTGTAGATATTCTTTTAACTTAGCCATATTACCAAGACATGTATTCACTATTTTTAAACTAAGAAATATTAATCGGACAGAATGTTTACGAATTTAATGTTAAAAAATTAGTCGCTGTTGTCCAAACCCTTGAAACGAATAATTTGGGACAGACGAGAAAATCAATTGCAGAAGTTACTAAAGATAATTGCAGGGCTTTGAGACTGTATCGAAGTATGAAAAAAACAAGGATGTTTGACATAACCGTGTAAACTGCTTAAGTTACAACGTAAGGTCTTCGCTATACTCTAAAAAATCAGAGATCCGTTGTAACAATGAATACTTGACGCTTAATCTCTGACCGTTTTTACACTAATACTGGATGTTGTAACCCTAACAGGCACCTACCTGCAATACCGTAAATAAAGATGATTTGTAATTGACGGTTGATCCTACAACAAAAATATATTTAGCCAAAACTATTTAGTGTGATTTTTGAATAGTAACCCTAAGTGGTATTCAGCCCTTTTCTCATGTAAAAGTAGCGTAGTTCTTTTGGATGGACAAGATAAATCCAGTTAAACTTAGAAAGCAGTGATTTTAACAATTAGTTGGCAAAACTTTCTATGAAAATGTTATATTTATAATTATTTATTTGTTATGTTTTACCCATGTAGCTCATTTACAGTTGGCGGGTTTGTCGACTTCTAGGATGTTGGCCGCTTTGTGTAAAGAGCAGGACGTGACCATCCATGGTCTTTACCGTTTGATCAGAAAAATTGGCTGTGGGTCTTTTGGTGATATATATTTGGGGGTAAATCAAAAAAATGGGGAGGTAAGTGCTTGCGTTACAGCGAAAACCTAATAATGCCGTAGGAAGTTGCCGTTAAGGTCGAACGGCAATGTGCACGCCATCCTCAATTAGCTTACGAGAGCAAAATCTATCGTCTCCTCAACGGTGGAATCGGAATTCCTCATATGAGGTTTGAATGTTACCTAAGATGTTATGAGTCGTAGGTGGTTTGGACAGGAATATGACCACTATTTCCTTGTGATGGATTTGCTCGGTCCCAGCCTCGAAGATTTGTTTTTGTTCTGTTCGCGACGCTTCACAAACAAAACGGTTCTTATGCTGGCTGATCAGATGATATCTCGTGTCGAATTTGTCCACAATCGCACTTTCGTCCACAGGGATATCAAGCCGGATAATTTCCTCATGGGAATTGGTCGTCACTGCAACAAGCTCTACATTATTGACTATGGTCTGGCTAAGCGTTATAATTGTCCGAGAACAGGAAGGCACATCAGCTACAGGTTTCATTATGTTCATAATGTTACTCCCGCTTCAGGGAAGACAAAAATCTGACCGGAACTGCCAGGTACGCCAGTATCAACGCACACCTTGGCATTGAACAATCAAGAAGGGATGATCTGGAGTCCCTGGGTTATGTTCTGATGTACTTCAACCGTGGAAGCTTGCCGTGGCAAGGATTAAAGGTATGTCTCACTGTGGTCCTCACCTTAAACCTCTTCCCTTGTTCATTGTCTCCTTCCCTTGAATATTAATGTTTACACCAATTACCTTGTGGCATTGGAGTCCATTCGTTCCTCTTCGTAAATGAAACCTTCTTTTTGGACGTTTGAGCTAGTCTAGTATTGTTTAGCAAATGTTGAAACCATGCCCTCTCACTGGGTTCTGAATATCCGGTGATATCTTCGAAAACGTGCAGTGCTTTTTTCCACACAGAGGCTCTTTTTGTAAGTAAAAGGTTCGAGTTTCCACTCATTTGTTATTTTTTATGGACGTTTTGTGGTTTCGATTCCCGTTGAGTTCCTCAAGATGCTAGTGTTTCGATTTTGCTGCGAACATTGGTGCAGTGAGATAATGAATTTACGCCTGATTGTACCTTCTAGATTTCTGCGATCATCTTAGTCCGAAACCGTAGTTGCCCCTCTGATTTTGCCTAGCATGAATAAAAAACGAGCTTCGTAGAATGAAGTCATCTACCTTAAGACGGTCCCATTTTAAGTAGTTAAAAGTCGCTCGGTCAATCAGATACTTCAATAAATTATTCATCTGTCTCGTTTTCTATGCGCCTTACATTGTAGCCAGTTGTTTTTGCCAAAAAATGTCGCCCAGTCGAGTAGTCGTTTTAAGTAGTATATCCATTTACTTTTTAATTTGCTGTCGTTCTTCACATTACTTTCGACAGTTGAGACTACGGTAGAACCGAGATATCAGCTATTATTTCCTTTTACTCGCCGCAATACCTAGTAATGATTACCAGTCATTATTTATCCTTTTTAAATTTGACCAGAATTTTGTATACCAGATGTGTGTTCCATCTGGCGACAAGTCGGGCTGTTTTTGGGCCATGTATCTTACTATTCCGATTTTAAAGGTGCTCTTTTGGAGTACCTCGTGACCAGGTCGAGATTCATCTTTGAAATTTAACCTGGACTTGAGTTAATCTCGTCATCTGACCCTACACCTGATTCTACTTAGCCACTAATTTTAAAATACCAAGCTGGCAAATTCTTATGGTGGCCGGAAGGAATTCGGAATAACCTTGAAATGCTTACTTGGTCCAATCGAGTTTGCCATCTGGACATGCCTTTTTCGATCCATTTGTCCCCAAAATCACATATTTCTAAAGGTGGTGGCGGCATTGATCGTTTAATTTCGCGTCTGTTTATTTGTTTCTTGCTACGTCGTCAGTGCGGTAACCTCTGGCGTTCTTGTCCATCCCCCTTCAATTTAGGCCAACACGAAACGCCAAAAGTACGAAAAGATCAGCGAGAAAAAGATTTCAACTCCCGTGGAAACACTCTGCAAGGGCTTTCCAGCCGAGTTCGCCATGTACCTCAACTACTGTCGTGGTCTTCGTTTCGAGGAGGCTCCGGACTACATGTACCTCCGTCAGCTCTTCCGAATCCTCTTCCGCACTCTCGGACACCAGTTCGACTTCCTCTTTGACTGGACCATGCTGAAGCGGCACTCGGTGGCTGCCAACGCCTCCGGCGCGGCGCCTGTCAGTGGCGGTGCTGGCGGAACCTCGGCCGGCGGCACCAAATTCGTTCGGTCCAACGACGCGTCGGCTGCGATGGGGTCTACACCGGCCCAGGTGGACCCCATTGCCGCCGGTCTGCCCTCGAACAACAGCAATGCTTTCCCCCCTAAGCAGAGTCAACAGCCGCAACAACAGCAACAACAACCTGAGTGGATGGCGTCTTCGGCCGCGGCGGCGGCGGCCTCGTCCACATCGCACCGACAGCAGTTATGAGAGACTTTCTAACGCTCTGCTTCGACCCTAAGGATCAATACTGTGCGATTTCTCGGCACCGTGTCCTGTTTATTCACGCTTTTGTTTACTTGTATGTGATGGTAACTTTGCTACATGTTGCGCGGGTGCATCTGTACATACGCCTGAGGCCGTCTTGGCCGGTCACCCTTTGCCTCCCTCAGCGATGCTTGGACTCCCCCCTTGTCTCCCTTGGCAGGACATCTAACTACCATCGCCTTACGTCGAGCACCGTTTAATTTTCTCCTACACTCCTTTATCAGTAATTGACTATCGGGAATGATGATGCACATATTTGACGCGATGTGTGTGTGTGTGTGTGTCTTTGTCTTGATTCCTTCCACCAAACTCTGGTGTGTTTGTGGGAGGCAGTTTATCGGCATAGTACTTCCACAATGCCCTTGGGGTGGCAACGTTGCTGGAAACGGGTAGTTAGCTAACTGAGTCAGGGATTTTGGTTTCCCTCCGTCTGGCAATCCGATCCAGGAGGCTCACTGCCTGTCACCTTTTCGTTTACTTCCTCACTCCCTCTTTTTCACGATCGATGAAGGCTGTGGCATTCACCTGATCTAGTCTGTGCCTAATTGCTTCTGTGGTGCGTCACGTAATTGAACACTCGACTTGAATTAACGGGCGTTAAGTGCTTGACGTAGGCGTTGAGTGGGGAGGGGCTATTTTACTAATTACTTTCTTTTGATTGGCTAGTAATTAATGTGCGTTTAATCCCACTGGCCTGTCAACACCCATATTCATACTCGGCTCGAGTTCTGCATTGCTTTTTTTCAAGTAAGGAAACACTGCTGATTTTACAGTTGGGTAAGCTTCTCACGCCAATATCTCCTTGTTCCATGATTAGATATGTCGCCCGCATTTTCCAAGTTATGCGTGTGTTTGTGTGCGCGCGTTCAGAGGCACATTAAGCTGGTACAATCTGACCTCATAAAGTGGCCTTGCAGTTCGCCTGCCAATCAGGTGCTGGCGAATCAATTTCTTTCGACAACCCGGGTGCGTTCGAGGCGTGGATAACTGTTTGCCCTCTCTTCCATCGACCGTGTCGCCTTTTCAGTGTAAAATAAACCGAACTACCACGATAATAATCACGCACACACACGCACAATGATTGTCTTCGGTAGCTGAGCTTACGCAAAAATTAATGAGTTTACAGGCGACTCGGTTTTTTTTCACACAAACCCGGTTCACGAACGTGCAAATGTTCGCACGCATCTGCTTAATCGCGACTTTTATGGCTTCAGGCAGCTGTGCTGCAGCACGGTTGACATTCGACCTGCGAAAACATCTATCACAAGGGAGTGAACATTCCAAGAGCCGTCCGAACCCACTGCCAGGGTTTTCCGATCAACACGATCGATTGTCGTCTTGTGACCTTGACGGAGTGGTGCATTGTTCTGGTTTGTGTTGTCTGCTGGGTTCATGAATTCACGACTCCACAAGTGTCTGTGTGTGTTTGTCAGTGTTTGAACACTCCAAATGCCATCAACCGAGCCACACACACACACGCGAATGTGCGTAGTCGAAAGTAACGCAATTTAAATAGCCTTACCAGGTGAAACACCAGCGTAAAAGAACGCTTTTTGTGTTGTGGCTTGTAACTACAATTGCCTGTGAAATTCACCTGTCCAAAACTGCAATCTCCTTCAGCTGCGACCATCTGTAGGCCATTGTGACTGTCCAAACCATTTTTATGTCAGTAAGTCTTTGGGGTTTTCGTTGGGAAAATGGGGCTGAGGTAAAACGTCCCTATCGCACGGGCTTCACGCAAGCACTAAAAGTAAATTGATGCACAACACTGCCTGGGCGTAAGGCAGCTTCATTAAATAAGAAAGGGGTAAAATTCTATTAGCCCTAAGTAATGTCTCTTAATATCGGCTGCACAACAACACTTCCACCAATCAACAATCTCAGTGCAGGTCCGTTTCATCTTATTGGATACGCAAAGCTATATAACTGAGACAACGATTATGCAAATGCACATATGGGAAGAGTCGTTTAAATGGCCTACTCTATTAAATCGCTTGCAAAGAATAGGCAAACATGCTTCGAGTTACCTTGGTAAATGTCTCTACAATCCTTTACAAATATTTCGCTCTTCAGCTTGTTCCAAATGAGAAAAGTCAATAATGGAATACGTGAACAGATGGCCCGTGGGTCGTTTGTTCATCAATCGGCAACCCAGTCAGTTTCACCGGGGTTTCCTGTGTTACCATCGCTTGGTAACCCAGGCGGACGTGTCTCAACTGTTTCACAGTTGGTGAAGTTTAAACATTTCCCTAGACGCAAAAATCTAATCACCTGATCAAGTGTTCGTCACCACGATTTCAGCAAAATCACCATGTGTTACTGCAAACCGGCACTCTTGTCCGAAATGTAGTACGCAGCAATACGGGCACGTTGGTTTGACTGGCTAAATTATGAAACCATTAAAGCTTGCACAGGTGTGTCTTGGGAATCTCTAATTTCTTGCAACAGAAATTGATTTTTGCATTTTATCAGTCTCGCATTTGAGACTCTCCTTCTCCTACTGGGTGGAAAGTGCAATATAATATTCGAATTTGCCTTGTTTCTCCTCTACTCGTATTGCTGAGTCACCTACTCGTCAAAATTCACTAACAGTGTCATCAATAGATTCTAAGCCAATCAAATTTAAGCGAAAATCGATTTTACTCAAGTATTGCACAATGGTGAGTGTAAATAGCCCGTGGTGACAAACACAACTCGTCCACTCGCATGAAATGACACAAATTAGCTCGGAGAAGCCGGAATCCGCCATGTTGACACCTCTGCTGTCTGTACTCTTACCAAACTCCGTGTTTGAAAACACGGCGTGTGGCGTCATAAACAGTCAAGGTCACTTGCACTCAAGTTTGTAGTCGACGGATTTTACAAGCGAGAGAGAGAGATAGGGGCAATTTTTCACATGTTTGGTGTTCCCTTTGTGTGGAGACCTGTGTTTTTGTACAAACTTTTCACGCGTGAGTGTAAATGAGAGTGACTGCGTAGATCTTATCAGACTGACACGCCGGAAAAGATCCGCATCATGAAGATCCGGAATGTAAGGAAGATCACGTGTTATCCTAAAGAAGAAATATTACGACAGCAAACAGATGCACGATTGATTGGAAATGGCTAAATTTCTCCATAGTGTTTATCGGTGTGGATTAACACGAATAACAACTCTAGAATACATGTTTTTTTTTTAACTTGAAACCAAATTGTCGCCAAACAACGTGCCAGCCTCAAGTGAAACCTGTAAATAACGCCAGCGGCTTAAACCCGAGCCGTCAGACATGCCGGAAGAGACCAACAATGAAGATTCGGAACGTGAAGAAGTTTACGCGTTATACTAAACTAGAAATATTGCGACAGTAAATAGTACAAACAGTAAATGTCTGCAGTTGAGGGGCGAATTAGACAGCGTTCTGACGGAATGACACGGCAAACGTAACTGTAGGTTTAACTAGCTGCTAGATTGGCGAAATCCGTGTCTAGATGCTGCCAACTACGGCATATTGGTGACTTCTGTGATGGGACTACGCGAACTAAACCTACAGCAGAATACCAGAAAAACTAATGGATCGAAGAGATATTTTTCTTAAATCAATTTCCTTGAGTCTTTAAGCATAAAAATGAACTTTGTTAGCACTTGGAGGATGGATTTTGGGTTCAGTTTTCAAATCGCTAATTGGGTCCACACTCTACTGGTCACCTCGAGGTCATGTCATTTGGAAGAACACCGCTGATGTATTTTGGGAGCAGAAGCAATTCCACGCGTTGCTAAGGTAGGAAACGCGCTAAGGTGGGTGGCGATTTGCGTCCGTGGCACTTTTGACGTTCTACACCCAAAATAAACGATCGCGAGTGGTTGCAAATCTCGCGATGATTGGATGAGTGCGTGCACGCCACATCAATGCTACGTTAGTGGACAGAAGCAGAACACGCGCGCACAACCTTCGCGTAGCAACGTTGCTGACACGTGAAGGGTCTTGACGTGTGCCCGGCATTCAAGCTGAGAGCCAACTGCTGACTCCAGCTTTGCAGAGGCCATCAGAATCTCCGGATTTGAGGTGTGAAATGGCAGTTTTGTAGGTAAATTTCCATTAGCTTGTGCGATGAGCGTTTCAACTTTATTGTATCACACTGTAGCGCATTTTCTAGACAGGGGTTTAAACGCCTTAAATGCAATCCGAGGCAGACTGAGCTTAAAAATTTTGCCAGATCACGAAGTTCACGAAATTAGAGACAGAACAGAATAATCTGGTCCTGTGTCTCTAATCCCTCTAGATATGCCTCGAACGTTTTCTCTCGTGGAAACGATCTCTGGCAATGTTAATTACTACGTCTAGTGGGAGAACAAGCAAACAATATCATTCACGAATAACCATAAATGTTACGCAAGACTGCACTGAGAGAACATAGACCAGAGATGGCGATGTCGACGGAACAGTGGAGTTTCATGGAGAGTCCCTGGAAGCAGGTGAGTGGAACAGCAGTCTGGATGCGCGTTTCAACAGATCCAAAGCAAACAATGTCATTCATGAACAGCCATAAATGTTGTGCAAGACTGCACTGAGAGAACATGGACCAGTGATGGAAATTTCACGGAGAACAGCCGGTTTCACGAACTCAACTCACGACGACTCAATGAAAGAACCACACCAGCAGTTGGCATGTCACATCGTGATTTCCACAGGGTCTGTCCAATTGTCTTGCGTCCCAAACACCGTTGTCGCGTGGTGACACACTACTTTCAACATTTCAGCAACCAAATTGTTCATCTGTGTTTCACGTATCGACCTAAACAGCACTTATCCAAGTGAGGAATGAATGGAAGAGGTTCAAGACATGGACGCTGATATTCTGGTTGCTATTTACACTGCTATTTGTCAGACAGTCAGCGACATCGTCGTTAACGCTGCAGAAGACGGGATGTCGGACATGCACAACGATCCTTGACGTGTTGCGTG